CGAAAGGTAGTCGGGCATTAGAGGGGGATGTAACTCTGAGTACAGACCCAAGCTCTGCAACCAGCCCGAAGCTTAGTGCTGCTGGTTGTGTGTTGGCTGAAAGTGGATTGTCCTTTACCGGTCCGTCATCTACTAATAGCAACGGTTTTTTAAATCGGATAAATGATTTAAAAATATAATCATAAACACTAGTGTCGGTTGGGGTGGAGGCTTTTTTAATATCAACTATAACATATTGCTCCAAAAGTTATTAAGAATGTATACACACGGTTATAGTACATATATTAAAGGAAGAGAAAGAGTGATTGAGAAATGCAAATATATATATATATATATATATATATATATATATATATATATATATATATATATATATATATATATATACATATATATATATTTATATATATATATATATATATATATATATATATATATATATATAGATATATATATATATATATATATATATATATATATATATATATATACATATATATATATTTTTATATATATATATATATATATATATATATATATATATATATATATATATATATATATATATATATATATATATATATATATATAATGTATGTTGGTTGATGATTTAATTTTTCAATAGCGTTTTTTAAATTACTGCTGTAAATAAACATACAATCTATTGTCTTGTCAAATCGTGAGTAAAGTTCTACTATACAATTACTTCATGTGACTTGGTAAAGTCTGTACAACATTTCCTGTCGTAGCGCCAAACACAAACCGACTTCACAAACTACTACAAGGTACACAACTCATGGTTTTGGAAATAACAAACAAATCGACAGCCTTATCATTAAGGCTGGTCTTTAGCTTTCGATTTAATACCCGACATTTTTTTGTTATCGGAAACCTTGAAACAAATCACATCTCTTCCACAGACCTCCAGCCTCACCAAAAATTGAACGTAGGCTGCCCATGCAGAGGAGAGCTTCGGCTGATTTAATTCCCGAGTGAGTTTTTTTTGTACAGACAAGTTGTCTTCGTTAGATTTACAAGACGATCTTATATTAAGTTGATGATTTTTATTTTAATGCTTATAATTCATTATATGTATATTTATTTTGTAATGTATGGCATTTGTTAACGTAGAATTTAAAACATTGTGTGTAAAGTATAGAAAAATGTTAACGTTAGTGAGTTGAACACAATGTGGTGAAAATCTATTCTCTTGTTGAGTACCTTAAAAGTTACATTATGCTGCAAACATAACTCTAATTTTACTATAAGCCTGACCGTGTCATTAAATAATACCAATCTAATCCTAGAGTAATTATTAAATTGCGATACCGGAAATAAAATAAATTATGTATTGGAAATGTTTTACACCATGTTGAGTCTGTATTATAACTGTGTTGATAAGTAAAGCACTGCTCACTGAAAGTCTCTGGTTCGATTACTAATCTTGAATCTAAAACTTCCTTGAGACTTCACAGTTCTGATCTTCGTAAAGTCAGAGTCCGGGAAAGTAAAGAACGCCTGTAATATGTCGAAGTCTAAAAACATTATTTGATCTGTACGGTTTATTTATTAATTTGTTTTTACATTCAAAACTCCAGCCATACGCATAACCAGGTATTTTTTTGTAAGAATAACACGGCTACTGTAATTAATTAATTAATTAACTGCGTATTATCTATTTGACCAGCGCCCTTGAGCCGGAACCTCCAGGACCTGGATTTATCTTTGGTTTCTGGAAGGAGCGTGAGTACATTAAAAAGTGGTCTTTGAAATTTAGTTTAGATACGAATGAAACATGCACGTCGTATTACCACTATTGCAAATTCCCTTAATGTTGTTTAAAATAGTCGCAGAAGATAGAGCAACACACGTATAAGAGGCAGTGGGTGCAGAACCTTGAGGGGGGGGGGGGGGGGGTCAAAAGTTTAATTATAATGGACAACACAGGTGTGTTGTTTTTCAGGAGCTGTGGAATGACAAATTGTATTCTAGAAATAATACCAAAATGATAGAATGTGTTAAATGTTGTTATGAATTAAGGTTAATTAGATGTTATAGGAGGGGTATGGTATTGACCTTATTTCTTGATTGTCTGGTTTGTTCGTGGAATGGTGTGTTACGATGTATCCATGGAGTCTGAACTAGTGTGACGTCATTGACGGTGGAGCGTTAAGCTTCTTCCCCTACCTAAATACCCCACACTTACCACTTTTTGGGGTCTTTCTTTCCCTACCTAAACATAACACACCACTTTTTGAGGTCTTTCTTTCCCTACATAAACATCCCACACTTACCACTTTTTGGGGTCATCTTGATTTTTAAAAAAAAATATCTATAAAGGGGTGGGGGAGTTTACAGTATAAGATAAGAAACAGTCTTGTATTTGGTAGACGAATAAGCAAGTGCTAACTCAGAGAATCATGTTTATTTTTATGTGAAATAGCACTATTCAATGCCAGTTGTCACACATCATATCAGAACTCACCTTAAAATAAACCTCTGATCGAATGAATTACTTTATAATATACTAGCTAGCATTATTTTTTTATCAATAGCCAATTACTTGAGTTTCTTCTTCTCATAGTTTACCTACAATTTGATTCAGTGTTTGCAAATAACATCGAGATTGTTTGTCTACGTGTAGGTTACCCTAATGATGACTTCAAGAACCAGCCTAACCGTAAGACTGCCCCCACCCCCGGGGATATGGAGGACCACTACCCTCATACAGTGGACAAGGCGGAACCCCAGGAGACCCCAGCCCAGAGCACAAAGTAGAGCCGACACTGAAGCGTATTGGTTAAATACATGTCTGGGTTTTTTTGTTTTCCTAAATTAGTTTTAGTTGCTACACAGTTATTAATATAAAGATAAGCCTACATGCTGAAATTTGCGTTTGACTGTGGATTACGTTTTGGATTTGGGTTAGCATTGAAAATGTTATTACGATTATTAAATCTAGGAAATAGTTTTGTTTAGGGTTACTACTTTGATTTTCAATTAAGGCTAAGGTTAAAGGTTGGGACTGGTTAAGCGTTGGTCTACATTTGGGATAGTATTTAACTGAATGATGGATAAATCAAAGAATATTGAAGTATATTTGGGTACGGTTAATATGCATAAAACTTTAGAATCGACGAAGACCATCAAGATAGCGAATGGTCAGATACAAATAAAATTTTAATATAATTTACTGCTTTGCACTGTTTTGTTATTTTCAATGTTACTTATTTATCCCATATATATAGCCTATTCAAACATATATAGTTGCATTACACAATTTTAAATAAACATGTCGACTGTACAGAACGGTGTGGTCGAATAGTAGAGCGTTCGACTACTAACACGAATGTCTGGACTTCGGATACCGGGATCCAGTCACTATACGTCGTCCCTGAGTCCACCCGTCTCTGAAGGGTACATGACTTACGTAGGCCAAGTAAAGGCGACTGGTCATGTTGCTGATCAGGCTATCCCTTCATATGCCGAGGTGGTTGAACCACACAAACTCTACTTCACCTGCTAAATGTGTCTCGGGCACGATTGGTTAAACATAAGTTAAGAAGAGCTTGACCTTGTGAAACACACAGAACACATCAACACACCGGAAGTAACTTCTTAAGGACGATGCCGTTGAAAACAATAAGGAGCAGGAAAGCATCGCCATCAAGTATAAAATGAAAAAATAAATATAATTATTTTCAAAAAAAAAAAATTAAATTTCAGATTTCCTGATTTCGAATTTTATTAAGCATTTCTAACCCGTAAATTATTACGTGTTTCCGGCTAATAAAATAAACGTTTTTTTTTTAATCGAAGCCCGAGTGATTTTATTGTTCGTGTGTAATGTGCTGTGCGCATTAGATGGCTGCATAGCTGCATTACTACAACGATTTGAGACTAAGAGAGTACTTTCTAGTAGAGTCATTAAGCAGCTACACTGCGATTCAATGATGGCACCAAATAATAGACCAAGAGTACTTTCTAGTAGAGTCATTAAGTAGCTACACTGCGATTCAATGATGGCACCAAATAATAGACCAAGAGTACTTTCTAGTAGAGTCATTAAGTAGCTACACTGCGATTCAATGATGGCACCAAATAATAGACCAAGAGTACTTTCTAGTAGAGTCATTAAGTAGCTACACTGCGATTCAATGATGGCACCAAATAATAGACCAAGAGTACTTTCTAGTAGAGTCATTAAGCAGCTACACCGCTATACAATGATGGCAGAAAATCATAGACACTTTTATTTTCTTTCAACTCCCGGATATGACTGACATGCGCAGAGTTATCTAGCAGAGCAGACGGTACAAAGGTATAGAACGGAGCATGTCACATACACATGTTGAAAAAGCTGAGAAACTGTTTTTTTCTTCTTCTACTTGGTGTTGTGATTTATGTAGTTACCTGGTAATAATGGAAGGGAAGGGTAGGTCAAGGTTTGAGTCTTAAAGTTTGAGGTCCTAGCCTGGTGCCGAACCCGCAACCTCTGTGTTAGCAATCACTGCACCACGCATTGCTCTGACCATAACTTTATTTCGCTATTCTTGAAGATTTATGAACTGCTAGACTAAACAATGAAGCGAAAACCATTGAGTCTTTATAATACTAAACTGTCACTCTCTCTATATAATAGAAGTTCAACTTAAAAAACCACTTGAATTTCCTTTTGATGTTCCATTTGAAGTTTCATTTGAAATAGCATTTGAAGCATTGTTATAGTTGAGTACTGAATTCGATATTAAAACAAAAAAGAATAAACATTTAATTTACCAGTGTCCGCCCCCCCCCAACTAAGTACGCCACTCCGAAAGTTACACATTCCTCCCACCCCTGCCCCCCCCCCCCTTCGGTGAAAAAGGTCTGCTACAATAATCTTAGAATGTGTATTAGTCGAACTATTTCTGGGCTAGATTGCTACTATATGGTGCCATGTAGCAGCTTCTACTTGACTACACTGCTACTTTTAAGTAGGCCCTACTCCCTGGCAACTATTATATGACAACGGTGCCACAACAAGGCACCATCTGGTAGAACGTCGTCTTAAACGACGTGCTCATCGTCAGAAACACGAAGAGATTAACCGACCCGTTCATGAAGTCAAAGAAAAGGATGACGTAGCTCACGACGTGAACGAGGTTGTGGTACGTCCTCAAAAAGTAGTACTCTTCTATCATGTACTTGGCCATGTAGTGAATGACGCGGGGGCTTAGATTGATGACGTAGAGCGCAATAATGATAAGCAACATCTTCATGACTTTCCGATCTCGCGATGTGATTGGTTTATTCGTTGGATTTGATTTATTTGAAAGTTGGTTGTCCGCTTCCGGTTTTTTCGTCCCGTTTCTGAATTCTCTAGATTGGCGGAGTTTCACGGACATGACGAAGGCGGATATTACGATGACCACAAGGCTGACCATTGGCCAGAGAGCGCCGGACAAGTTGTAGAACCCGAAGAGCAGAGCCGTGTTTTGCTTAGAGAACTGGCTGTATTGGTAGACGGCGATGGAGGCGTTCAGCGTCGGGTCCCATACCCAGAAGACATCGTAGATGCCGAAAATAACCGCAAACCACCCGAAGACGACAAGCGAGACGAGAATGCAGACGCAGATACAGACTCTTCTGGTGAGGAGGTGTTTGATGGTTAAAGGGAAGACGACGCATAGGCAGCGTTCTATCGCCACGTACCCGGCTAAGACGCTGGTGACGTAGGTGGAGAAGGAGACCAGGTAGTTGAACACGACCAGACAGATGTTTGTCCACGTGACCGCGCTCGATTCAGACCAGAGGCTGATGGGTCCAGCCATGCGCTGCATGACCCCGCCCAAACTTTTAATTAAATCCCAGATGGAGATGGTTGTCATGGAGATGCCCACGCTGTCCTTGAACCCTTGTCTGGCGTAGACCATGATGACCAGGACGTTGGTGAAGACGCCGAGAAGTGACAGGATGAAGTTCAAGGTCAGGTCGATGATGATCTCCAGCAGACGGCGGTTGGCGTTGGTGATGAGGATCTCTTGGGGGACGAACTCGGAAGTGACGTCAGAGCTGGCCGGTGCTAGGTGGTCTGTGCGATTCATGACGTCAAACATCGTCAAGCTGAACCTCTAAAAATTCATCATCTCCACCTTTGATGGCGTCATTGAAAAATACTATTAAAAATGATCTAGTCGATCATACATTGGCAGACTTCACAAAATCACTGATACAAATTTTTCACAATCTTTATCAAAGAACATGAGAAGAAACATAAATAGTATGTAATATTTCACCAGAAAAAGCTTCCTATTCTAAGCCCAAAACTTAATACAAATACAAATCTACTTTATAGTTGGTGTAGACTACTTGCACTGGTGACTATTTATCTTTCATTTATCTTACCATTAATTATAGTCAATTATCATAGCATATGTACAGAAAAATAGTATAACTTTATAATGAATAGTGAAAAAGACTGCACATACTAAAATATAAACTGTAAAATAAAAACAAATATAATAAACCATTACGAAAATAATTTTTTCGTAAATCTAATTTTTTTAGTGCTATCGTCGATATTACATTTTTATATGAAGCCACGAAGGTTTTATTTTAATAGCCCCGCAACCAATTATAGAAAGAAAGCCTTCAGTAAGTGCCCTCGTTGTTAAAAGAAAAAAAAAGATATCTAGATCTAAGTGTAGAAAGAAAAAATATTGATTTCTTAAATCAACACTAATTTAGATCAATCAATAAGTTTTTGTTTGTCTATCTGTGCATGAACCTAGACGCAACAAATTGGCCTAATTAGAAAAAAACAATTTGAGATTATTACGTCCTTAAAATCCTTTTCTTCGGTATAGTTAAATTCGTCATTGGGGTTTACATTACGAATAATGGTCGGACATTAAAGCTAATTGGTAATTAATTATTTTTAAGAGTTGGAGAAAGCTTGACGATTACGCTGAAACCGACAAATGACAAACATAATTAGTACTAGAGAAGATTTTCTCGAGAAATTACGAAGCAACTTAATTATATTAATTTGTCATTCGGATTTCTTTGTTTTATAATTAGCTCTTTTCTATACACTTACCACAGAAAAATGTGTGATTCTTTAATCGAATCAATCAATGTTTATTTTGATGACAAATATTATTCGGTGTAAAACGATCACTGAGTGCTCATAAACTTTCAAAATTTTGCAAACAATCGGAGTTTTTTTTTATGTTCTTACTATCTAAACAATAAGTAGTTTCGTTTTGTTCCCTTTATAATAGAAGACCTAGAATCAGTACAATTGCATTATTTCTAAAAATTGTTTTCATCGTTAGTAACTATCGGCGTAGTTTTTTTGTGGTTAAATCTAAATAAAAATGTATACCCTGTGTGAGATATAAGATGTATGACTTTATTTGGTCATTTTGTCAGGGGAATGACAGCTGTTTCGTGAACCTAGCAGTAGTAGAGTGGGGTGGGGGACGGGGAGTGTTTTGACTACCACTGGACTTAATTTAATTTGTGAGGGGTCAAGTGGTGGTGAGATGGGGGTAGTTGTAAATACCACGGAACTCGATCAAATTGCTTTAAAGGGTCCAGTGTGGTGGAAGGGTTAAATGGTAACTAGCACGTGACTTGATTTAATTGTTTTGAATGGTTAAGTGGTGTGGGGTGGAAGGGGATAGTGTTAGATTACCATTGGACTTAATTCAATTGATTGTTTTGAATGGTTAAGTAGGGTGGGGTGGAAAGGGGGTCGATGTGATTGCCACTGTGATTTAATTGTTTTCTGGGGTCTGGGAGGGGGGGGGGGAAGCTGTGACTATCACTGGAATTAAATTGTGGAAGGGGATTTAGTAACTTGTTTTTGTTTTGGGTCTAGGGGGTGGGGGGTGTAGTTATGACTACCACTGTGATTTAGTGACTTGTTTTGTGGGGTCTGAGGTGGGGGGGGGGGGGTAAGGTGTATTTGTGACTACCACTGGACTTAATTCAATTATTTTGACGACAAAATTCTTAAAAACACAACTGATAGTGAACGTTATAATTAGCTAAGAAAAAAGTGGATGACAATCTAATTAATATTTACATAAAAAATTAGGTGGTAAATTTTAATTAACCAGCAACGCAATTTTATAACATTTTAATTAAATAATAGCTATTAAATACTCGTGGAAAATTTCATAGGATAATAAGATAAACATTTAATTATACTAAAGAAATATTTGACAGTATAATTAACTTGGGTTTTTCTAGATCTTAATTTCTAACATAAGACATTAAATTCAACCGATTTGATAGAAGACTGATCTCCCCTTAGTAAAGTCTTACAGGTAAGTCTTATAACGACCGATTCCACTTGTTTACCTGGTTGATACCTCTGGTCCATGATGATCTCTCTTTCTGCCATTACCCACTGTATCAAACTCAAGCAGCCTTCAATGCATGTCCTACTCTCTAAGCTATGTTTAATCCTGTTCTTTTTCTTGTCTTAAAATCATTAGTAGTTGGTGTCTAAATTTGTTAACATATTGCTGGAATGGAAGTTGAGGGAAAAAAGTCTAAAATATATATTTTGGGTACGGCGTGGTCAAGCGGTAGAGCGCTAGATTGATTACCCGAAAGTCTCGAGTTCGAATCTGTGTTAAAGCCGGTAGTACGTCTCTGGGTCCACCCAGCTCTGATAGTTATCGAACTCATGTTAGGGAAAGTAAAGGCGTAAATTGCTGACCACACTATCCCTACATATGCCGAGGTCACATAAGCATGTTCACTCTACTTCCATTTCTCCAAGGTTCCGTTAGTTTAAAAAGAACTTTCTTTTTATCTTTAAGTCCACTTTTATGGGAAAGAAATAATATTATAATAGACAAAACAGCATCTCAACCGTCAGAAGCATGTTCATTGGACTCCATTTTACTGCATGCATTTGTCTAGAACCTTTAAGAAATTCGCCAAGTTCCTGGATGCCTTTCAGTGCCTGAATTAGACCCCTCACCCCTCGCCTATATAACCGACAATAATTTCGTCAATAGTCCGTTGATGAGTCCACCCATCTCTGTTGCGTACCTTACTGGGGTCAGGGAAAGTAAAGGCGGCTGGAAATAGTGCCAACTACACTATCTCTTCATATGCCGAGGTTACAGAAACAGATGAACTCTACTTCAGTTGCCATATAGATCGTCAGGTTTGGAAGGAGAACTTTACTATTCTTTTCACTTCTACTTTCATAAGGCTTTATGATTTTACTTTGTGTTTATTTTAGTATTTTAAGACAAAATATGTAACGGAATTTTTTTAAGTCACTACACTATGGAGATATATAACAATGTCACCTGGGTCAGATGAAGTTAAGTGTGCACTGAACACAGACGTTCTTTTCGTCTGAGTGTGTGTTCGTGTTTAGGTGTGTATTTGCATATATATCTTTGAGTAAGTGTATATGTAGATAGGTTGTGTGCTTGCTTGTTTATTGATGTGACTGACCGAACGCTTGTCTCAATTTTCCGTGCGATTTCACCAGTAAATGCTCTCTGACGTATTGAGTTCAAAGGTCACACCAACTGACCAATGGTCATCGAGCAGACGACGAGCTGTAAAGCTGCAAGGTACTAACGAATCAGCATAGGTCCCTCAGAGTAGGACCTGTGACGTCATGACTTCTAAAAATAACCTTAGTGTAAACAAAGTTGGGGTGACCGTTGACCTTGTTCCAAAAATGGTTGGACTAAAGAGGAAATATGTAGTTTATGTAGTATGTAGAGCTTCAAGAAGGTAGTTTTATTTGTCTGCGTTGAAGGTGGGGGAGGGGGGGGGGGGAGGTTGGTAGTTTGAACTAATGCAAAGAAGTAATAACTCAAAAAGATACTATGCCCTGTTTTAAGGGAGTGTCGCTTCGGGACAATAAAATGCATTTTACCCAAGTTATATTTAACTTAGTGTCTCTAAATGGTGTGTATTGTATTTAATGTGCGTTTGATTCATTATCGTAGGGTGTTAATATGTTCGATGGTGGTGTACATATGGTGTCGGCTTTTGAGATGTACACCTATAGTGGTGTTTTTATTACACAATTGGTGTGATTATAGAGTGTTGCCTTTTAATTTATTCAAATGAATTTGTTACTATTGTTTAATTTTTGTTTTTCAGATTTGCCGCAATGGTAGTTTTGTGAGGATGTTTGATTTATTTCCTTCTTTTGGCGGTTTATCCTCGATTTAATTTACACCCGGGGACGACGGGCCCAAGCAGTAGGTCGCTTGACTGCTAACCCTAAGGTCTTGAGTTCGGTTCCCGGACTCGAGTCTTTAGGACCTGCTTGAGTCCACCCAGCTCTGATGGGTACCTGACGCAAGTCAGCGAAACCAAGGCGGTTGGACATATTGCTGACCATAATATCCTTCTGTACATCGAGGTTTTTGAAACAGGTGAACTCTGATTCATCTGCCTAATGTGTCTTGGGCACGAACTAAAAAAGGTGAATAAAAACAAAATTACAAGCTCGACTTTCACAAGCCAACATCCAGATCCCTTCTCCCTTGACCACGAGTGAACCCGAACCCCTTGTTTCCGAATTATATTTCTAATAAAGCTTAACTTTATACACTTATGGTACGGAGTGGTCTAGTGGTAGAGAGCTGGACTGCTAGCCCGTAAGTCTCGAGTTCGAATCCGGGATCAAATCAGTAGACCATCCCTGATTCCACCCAACTCTGATGGGCACCTAACTCACGTTAGGGAAAGTAAAGGCGGCTGGGCATAGTGCTGACCACACTATCTCTTCATATGCCGAGGTCACAGAAACAAGTGAACTCTACTTCACTTGCCCCATAGACCGTCAGGTTTGAAAGGGAAACTTTACTTTTTTTAACTTTATACACTTAATTTAAAAATTTGATTAGTACAAAACGTTACGTTGTATTTCAGACCACACACTTGTATCTGAGTCAAGTCAGTTGAACGCGCCTGAGTCCACCCAGCTCTGATGGGTACCGTGAATCACGTCAAGAAATGTAAAGGCGGCTGGGCATAGTGTTGACCACACTATACCTTTAAATTCCGGGGTCAATGAAATAGGTGAACTCTACTTCACTTGCCGCATGGACCGTGAGGT